TTCATCACCCTAAACGAAATAGAGTGAAAACATCTCATATTTTGATATTGCTACTGTTGTTGTTGTTGTTGTTGATGCTGCTGCTGCTGCTGATGATGATGATGATGATGATGATGAAGAAGATGCGAAATCGTAACTGCAGTTCAGTCCATTTCAGCCTGGATGAGGAATCGTTTTGAGCGGCAAATAGGCAGTAAAATCCAACCACTTAATCATCAGCTTTTAAAAAATCATCTTGAACAACCTAAACTCGACTTGGCGCCTACTCAAAGTGGCCAAGTTGCCAAATTGTATATTCCATATTTCATATTGTTCCGTTTATGCGGCTATGGCAACAGTGCAAGTTCTGCTGGAAACCGTTTGCCTCTCACGCGGCTCACGACAGCCACGTCCGTCGGACGCATCCTTCGACAAGCGGTGATCACACGACGCCCCAACCTCGCCACCATCCACAATCTCACCAACATGCCGTCAAAGCGTCGTCTGGCGAGGCGCATTCGCTACAGTTACGCCAACCATCAGCATCGACATCAACATCAACAGCAACAGCCATGGCAACAAGCAGCCCAACAGTGTTGCAGTCAAGCGGACACGAGATGAGCTCGCTTCTCCTCTTCCCGACCGGCCAGACGCCGTCGGCCGGAGGCGAGCCGATCGCCGGTCTGTCCGACGTCTGCGGCAGCGCATCTGTCGTCATGGCAACCGAGTCGACTGCTGCGCGAGTTGGCGCCTCGAAGGAGGCCGCGGACGGCCGTCAACTCGGCTCGGCGCCAGTTGTACCCGCTGCACAGACCAAGCCGAACATGTTGTTGGCGTCGTTGTCCGATCTCTCCGCCACGACCGGCCTGGCTGAGGCGCAGGCGCTGCAAGTGCTGCTCGGCTCGTTGGCGCTGGCGCGCAGCCTCGGGCGGACGACGCGAATGCCGACAGTTTGGCCGAAGTTGGGCGCGACCGACTGACCGCGTGAACCGTCTCGTCGTTGGCTCGCCAAGTGGATCCGGTGAGTCAGCCAAGATCGGCTGTTCAGATCAATGCGAAGAAAAGTTGGGTTTCGAGGAGTGTCTTCTTTCATGATTGTGTAGCTTACCTCCATTTCGAATGAAAGAGATTCGGAAGTCGGTTCCACCGGAAGACGACGGAAGATTTCTTTTAAACAGTTGCAAATTGGCTTTACTGTATCATTCATGCTGACGCTTTTTCCGAGGCAATCGCCTTAGATTCCGGTGAAAAGATGCTAAGCTTCGTCCGTCATAGGACGAACATCATCTAAAGCAATGTATCATCTTCACAACCAAATTGAAACTAAAGAGTCAATAAAACTCACCGGCAAATCTCTCAAAAGCGGTATATATACTTTTGCTGTCCTAATTACTTTGAGCCATCACTGCGGGTTTCGTGCATAAGCGAACACAAACAGACACATGCACATACTGAGACAGACACACTCACAGGCTTCGAAGTTGACATATGACCTTGACTAACCGAATCACTTTATACTTGAGCAAAGAGGCCAGATGTAGAGTATATATGCCGCTTTTTAGGGAGTTGCTAGGGCGTTTTCTTAACTCATTAGCTTGAATTTGGTTGTGACGATGATACCTCGCTCTGATCATGTCCGTCAAATGACGGACCTTTTCGCCGAAATCGAAGCAGATTTTTTCGGAAACAGA